TTATTCATCTTCAGACTATGTTTCCAAACTTGTAGTATTTTCATCAACTCTGTAGTAGCTCGTGACTTGTGACACCCCGATCATCGGGCTGAGTTTGGGATGGTTTTTCCCCGTTATGTTACGCTTATTTCCGTACTTACGATTAATCAATATCTATGGTTTAAACCTGTTATGCTAAGAAATTGTCAAAAGCAGTGTTGATTGTTCTGTTGGCTGGCCTTGTCTTCACGAGAGGCGCCATCACGACCGGGTGGGAATTGGGTCGTGACACGAGGTCAACAGTGTGCCACGGTACATTTGCATCACAATAATATCCTTTAATGTACTCTTCTATCTCATGCCCTTCAGGAATCACTAAAGGATCTTGATTCATTTTGAAATCTTTATACAGGGAGTTGATTTTGTTACCAAAGGCAAAGTCGGTTGTAGTAAACCGCATGGCAACATTCTGCCCATATTTTCCCCTCTTCCTCAAATAATAAAAGAGGACATCCAAGTGCTGAGACAAGAAATAAAACAAAACAACCATCACTACTAGATTTTTGAAATATACAAATTTATACGCTATTATATGGAGTTATACATATTTATACAAGGTTATACAATCTTATACAATCTTATACTATGATTATACAAAGTTATGTATACACTATGGGGGTCTCAAACAATAAAGATACGCAACAAATAAAAAAAGGCATTAGAACAGAAAGTTATTAAATACCGTGTCAATCAAAGGTTGACCACAATACGCAAGTGAGTGGAACCAATCCTTCGTGGTCACATGACACGAGCCAAAAGTAAAAGCTTCCGCAAGCTTATTTACTTCATCGGTATAAATAATTTTTGGCACTTCAAATCACAAAAAAGTAAAAAGTAATCAGAACTACCTTCATTGACAAGTATAAAATCAGAACATGAAAGGCTAAAGAAAGTTAAGATACCTTCACCTCGTATCCATCCCATTGTCAACAAACGTGCAAAACTCTTTTGGCCAATGGCAACAAGGGATCAAAATCATCAATTTCGATCGTGAAAGGATACTTGATATAAAAAATGAGCTTGTGCACCGATCCTGATGCCCCCTAATCAAAAACTAGCAAATATGGAGATTTGGCATATTTTCCTGATATTTTCTGTCAAAACGACTGTTCAGGAGAAATGTAATCCTCTTCTACGTCTATGATGGATGGTCTGTGAAGCACAATTTGGGACATCTGTGGCGCAGCTAAATCTTCATTGCCAATGTCATCCCAAAATGTATCACCTTTGACATCACCTGCTGCCCCTTAGACAGAGAAAACCAATAATAAAAAACTTTCAAAATGAAGAAAAGAAAAATCAGACAAAAAAAGATAAAATGTAGAACGAATACCATGATCAACACCATCAGTAACTCCCTCGTTTGCTTTGACACCTAAATTTGTTTGGTCAGCTAGCGTGTTATCTTGATTCACTTGATCGACAAAATCAGGAACAACATCATATTGATAGCCATCAAATTTGTCGAGACCAGATGTATTGTCATCAGACACGCACTGACGAATCTAATAAAAACAATAGAAAGAGAAGGCATAACTGTTGCGTGATGATTTAGAGAAGGCATAATTGTTGAGTGATTTGGTTTTATCAGTAAAACATTACCTTAGAATCGGGAACCTCCTCCCTCGTTTGCTTGGTTTCCTTCATATTCAAAAAATTGAACACTTTTTCAAAGTAAGAAATCACATAACTGTTGAGTGTCGTAATTGTAACAGTCAACTACAACAAACAAACAACAGAAACAACAAAAGCAAATCAACAACCATGTTTATAACCAAAAAATCATGTATATACAACATCAATAGACCAACTTCAAACAACACTCCTCAACTTCTCAAGTTCAGCAATCAACAGACCAATGCGCGCCAAAGGATCATAACTCGGGTTAGGCTGTTACTCCGTATTTTGAGGATAAGGTCGTTTAGATTGTTGCTCCGTATTTTGAGGATAAGGTCGTTTAGACTATTGCTCCATATTCTGAGGACAAGGTGGAGATGCAGAGACAGAATTATCAGTGTAAAAGGCAGGCACCTCCCTGATGCAACATCATTGGCATTAACTTCAAAAAGCGTGGCGATGTTCAGAGTTCACATCTCTTCACGAGTAGGGGAAATGTTCCTATAGTTCAACTACAATAAAAAAAACTGGATTACAATAGTAGAAAAGGAAATTGTGACATATTCATAAGTATACATACTTACAGAAAAACTGAAATCATATATGAAGAAATATTATGGTACAAAATGTTTACCTTGTTGATACTAGACATGATCACCCCGCCAGTCAAATCCGCATATGTTGGAGTTTCAGTGACTTTCCAATTAAGAATGCGTGGCACATTTGTGCCAACGCGGACAGCTAGATGCTTGTCAACCATAGAGCAACACTCAAAAAACCATATTTGTAATGCAAGTGGCAAACCTCAAAAAACCTTCAAACGACTTTTTCCCCCAAGCATACGTCTGATATTGACCACTTTCAATGATATCAAAATCATCTTTGTTAATACCATGATTATTGGCATCTGAGAATATAAAATGATGGACAAACACCATCAAGGCCATCTTGAACGCATCTTCGTCTGACTTCCAGTCCTTTTTCTTGAAGCGATCAAGAAGCTGCCCCCTCGTTATAGCCTTTTTTCCATCTCCTAGAAAATACTTTTTAGCAACCTATTAACATCTGGTTTTTCATAAAAAGTGGTGTCATCTTCTACACACTTCAAACCAGTGATAACAGTTAATTCTCCAATGCCAAAATGCAGCAAACAACCATTAATTTTAACCCACAACTCCCTTTCCCGCCTTGAGACGACTTCCCTCAATAGTATACAATGCATAAGTTGATTTTAAATTTTAAATTGAGGCAGGTCCAAGAAGTACCCAAAACAACTAGCATGGAACATTTGAAGCTGCGTGTCAGTATGGGAATTAATCCTGTTGTGAAAATGATCAACTGATTGTATATAGAAGTATCCATCCTTGCATAGGGAAAAATAACAAGAAAGAAATCAGGAACAAAAACTATACTAAAATATTGTATAAACATGTATAAATCACTGTAGCAGTACTTCTATAAAGGTGTATAAACAGCTGTATAACTTAGTATGAAATTGTATAAGCATGTATAAAATTAATAGCAACACAGGCAATGCCTTCAGCTTAGTTTTTCGCTCATTCAATTTGCGGCGAGTAGCAATCCTTTGTTCTTTGGATATGCAATCAAGACCACTCTCACCATCGTCCTTGATATTGCTCTTTTTATGCTTAACGACCTCGATCTTTTTTTTTAACACTGGGGCCTACATCATCTTCATTAACCAAATCAACTTTCAGCTTTTCTTTGGATTTTTCTTGTCTCCTACATTTCTTACTCCTTATTCTAACAATGTTAACCGGAGTAGGAGTATTACTTGTTTGCGAACGAGTCATTGGACTGCTCTCTTGTTCCGACTTTTTTGTAGGAGTAGTAGACTCAAAATCATCATCATCATCGGGGGCCTGTACATGCGCATTCGCTTCAGAATCAAGGGTTGAGGGCAAGTCCCTCAATGATTTAGCTGGATTAGGAGTATTCTTTGTCTGCGAACGAGTCATTCGACTGCTCTCTTGTTGCTACTTTTTTGGAGGAGCAGGAGACTCAAAATCATCATCATCGGGGACCTGGACATGCACATTTGCTTCAGATCAGGGCTTGAGGGCAAGTCCCTCAATGTTTTTGCAAAATCGAGCTTAACACCTTTTCCATCAACCTTCATACGACTTTTAGAAGCAGGTATTTTTGAATGCATTTTCTACAACAAAACAAATAAAGCTTTAACAAAGTGAAGACAAGTGAAGGAAAAAACAAAATTCAAACAAAAACAAAGGCCATGAACACAAAGCAGAGGCCAATTTTTCCAAATTGTAACAAAACTCAAAAAATAAATTCTACCCTAAAACTCGAAATAACAAAGCATACAAACTGAAACATCAAGTTTAGGACCAGAACGAAGATAGAAGGAACACAAAATCGAACGGAAAACACAACAACATTGTAAAAAAAAATATTCAAAATCAGAAAAGCAAAAAAATTAAAAATAAAACAAAATTTAAAACCAAAACTATAGTAAAAGCATAAAATGAAACGAAAATTACCTGAAAATAAGAGTGAAAGCTCGAAAAATTACTTGAGACCCAACAATGGAGGAAGGTTGCCTTCATACTTCTCTGAGAAAAGCGTGAGAAGAAGAGAGAGGAAAAAAATTTAAAAGCGAAAATCGTTAATAATATTTGTGGGCTACCGGGTGAAAACAAAATTACAAAACATATACAACCTGGGCTAAACCAGGTTAGGACTTCAAATGTGGGCTATTTTCGGATGGGCTGTATGGCCCAAGTGATATATGATGTAATATAGTCTCAAAGATATGCCGTTGTAACTCTACCACAACTGTAATTATTAAAAAAGAATATGATAACAAATGCTAAACATGTTGGGTTATACTATTAACCATGCGGTTTAGACATAGTATTTTGTTTTAATCTTTATGGAACAATTGTTTATTTAATTTATTCAATTCAATAAAGAAATTTTTTATATAGATCATTTGTTACACGTGTGACCTTTTAGTTATGTAGTAGACAATTTAGTGTATGGATTCTTAGCTTATGCATAGAAGATTAAATTTTCGGTTCTCATAATTGATAAACTATGTTCACAATCAAGATATTTTGTTGATTGTAGCACAAGATTATAGTAAAATTTGTCTTGATTATGGGAGTGATTTTACTCCGACTTCTTGTGCTAGTATACTTAGTGTATAATGAACGAACCAAGTAGAGAAAAGATGTTTTTGTACTGAATATATATAAAACATTTTCTATAATTCATTAAATGAGCTTATACTCCTAATCTTGATATAATTATTATGATTAATCTAATTTATTTATTGTTTTGATTTATCAAAAGGTACGACTCTATTCAAAGTTAGTGTATGCCTAATAGATTGGACAATAACGAATAACATTTGTGAAATAATAATTAGTTGATAGAATCCATGACTCAGTTTTGAGTTTGATGATACCCCTTTATGTAAGCTTATAAGTTTTCGTGTGAAAACCCGGCCGGTGGATTTTGTATCCGTCACATGAAATAGTTTGAGCGAAATTGTAAAGGATTTAATTAGTTGATTAAATTAAATTTTGCAGTGATTTAATTTAATTAACTGTTATTTGAGATCATAACATAGGGAGTTAAAATAAGTGTTATTGAATTTTCGAAATTCATATTGAGGAGTTCAATTGCACTGTACTTATCGCTACTATCTTGCTATTATTTGTTGTTATCTCCGATTTAGTTTTCTAACTATTTGTCTTGCTATCACTTGCTAACAGGGTTTCATTCACCTTCTTTAGCCGAGGGTCATTCGGAAACAGTCTCCCTACCCTTCCAGGGTAGGGGTAAGGCTGCGTACATCCTACCCTCCCCAGACCCCACTTGGTGGGATTATACTGGGTTGTTGTTGTTGTTGTTGTTGTGGAATAAATTTGCAATTAATTATAGTAAGAGTTAATTCATGCTAATTTCGAATTAATTCTATAATTGGTAGCCTCTTATTATTTCTGTGGTCCCTGCGGTAACTAGTAAAAACTTGGACTTGACTTAGGTAAGTGACTTGGGAGAAAAGTCATCTGGTAGAACTGAGGTAGGATTCTACTTGTGAAAGCAGAATCCTACACGTTTTTGGAGCATATTTTCGACAAAAATCAGTCTATTTAAGGAAGACTAATTTCACCAATAACTCACCTTTTAGAGTTGTATTGTTCTTGCCCACCCAAAAAGCAAAAATCGTTCAAGGTTTTACTAGGCATATAGCAGAAGACTGCAACCCTGGATTCCTGCCGTGTGGAGGATTTGTGCAACGATTTCAAGAGGTTAGTGCTTCTAATCTAGTGATTATAGCATTGTCTAGTTTACATGTATTTGATGCTTGGTTGTATTCTTGCTTCCGCTGCGCATGTTCTAACAATTGGTATCAGACGCCGTCTTACATCTAACTAGATAATGTAATACAACATGAATGGAGTAATATTAAAACGTGTTGTTTACTGATACATGTTTGGTATGATTATTCTATGTAAAAAACGTGATTGTATTTATTAGTATTCTGGAATTACGAATTATTATATACATGCAAAAACAGTGGTGTCATATTTAATGACAGTCTGTTTAATTACGTTTTTGATGAATAGCAATTTGTTTTATTAAAAACGTGACTATTTTTGAATGCTATTAGTTCTGTAATTATGGATATATATATAAATACACACACACACACACACACATTGAATTAATACTATAAATCTGTTTTAGTTGCGTTTTGTCTATAATCACAGTGTTATATTAATAAAAACGTAACTGTTTTGAATGCTATTAGTTTTAAAATTTTTAATTAATATATGGAATTATGAACAATGGCGTTTTGAACGGTGAGAAATATTCTATTTTTTAAAATTCTGTTTGAACACGTTTTTATTAAATAATAATAAATAATATTATTTTGAGTTCTGAATTCATGTTTTAGTATACATCAGTATATTATGTGATTTGAACCAGTCAAAATAATAAAAACCCTTAAAAATGCCAAAAACGGAATTGTACAAATAGGTCGTGATTTTAGAATTCTGAAATTCTGTCGAACTCCGATTGACCTCAAATTTGGTAGGTCTATCGGAAATGGCCCAGTGAGCAATACACATCAGCTCTGCTCATGATGTACGTCGTTTTTTTGGGCATTTGGGATCGTTTAGATGGGTTTTTGGCCATTTTTCTATTTTTTGGAAAAACTATTTAATAAAAAGAACTTCTTTAAAAGAAATTTGTGATGGTAGGGTTCAAATACCATTGTCTCCAATCATGTTTTACATTAATATAATGAATTTATATGTTGACATAGGTCTTCTTCCACATCGGATCAATTCATTATAGATGGTTACTGTAGTTTTGCCTCTAGTTATTTGATTACTTGTATTAACTCTCCAACTAAGTTACATGTTGATTCAATGAAATTAGAGTTTATAAAAGTGATATTTACCTATCTTAAACTAACAGTTTACCCTCCATCTGAGTTGGTCCTGTTTAAATTTATGGGGTTAATATCTTACAACACTCATATATTTTTCATAAATAGTTAAGTTTCCATAACGAATCTAACTGTTCAATGAGCATTATATATGCAATGTGCCGTTTTGAATTTAATTATTCTAAATACATAACTAATGATCTATTTAATGTGAATATCTCTGAGATTAACCACGTCTTTTATTCAACCCACTTACCTCAATTTTGAACCAAAACAAGTTAGGAGGACCGAATTATGTAGACTGGAAAAGGAACCTTGATATTGTCCTAACTGCTGAAGGTTAAAAATTTATAATCACTGAGGAGTGCCCAGAAAAACCTAAAAATGCTATTGATGATCAGGTTAAGGCCTATGACAAATGGGTTAAGACTGATGAGATAGCGCGATGTTACATTCTTGCCTCTATGGTGAATGTTTTGCAACATCAGCATCAGTCTATGGGGTCTGCTTATGATATGCTCGAAACTCTCCAAGAGATGTTCGGTGAGCAAAATCGTGCGGCTAAGCAGATAGCCATGAAAGCCCTTTTGAACACCAAGATGGCTGAAGGATCATTGGTCAGGGACCATGTTCTGAAGATGATGAGTCTTCTGAATGAACTGGAGGTCCTTGGAGCTATGATTGATAAAGAGTCTCAAGTTGAGATGGTCCTGCAGACTCTGCCTGACAGTTTTCAACAATTTCACTTGAACTATGATATGAACAAAATGGATTTGTTACTAGCGAAATTGTTGAATGAGCTGCAAGCGGCAGAATCTATTATCAAACAACAATATCCAATTATGGCACTCAATGTTGAGAAAGCTTCGGTTTCTAAGTTGAAAGGCGGTAAGAAAAAAAAAGAAAGCTCAAAAGGTTTTGTCACTTGGAGGTGCGGCTAGTGTGAAAAAGCCCAAAGGCAAGTGCTATCATTGCAAGCAACCTGGGCATCACAAAAAGCAATGCCCTGTCTATCTGGAAAAGTTGAATAAGCAAGGTAATTCAAATTTAAATGTCGTTGAAACTTGTTTAGCGGCTGTTTCTACCATGTTTTGGTGTGTAGATTCGGGAGCCACTAGTCATATCTGCACTACTTTGTAGGGGTTTCAGGAAACGCGACGCCTAAGTGAGAATGAAGTTTGCATTTTTCAAGTCAATGGCGAGCCAGCACCAGCTTTAGCATTAGGAGATATTAGAGTTTCGTTTAGTAGTGATAGAGTTTTAGTTTTAAAAAATATTCTCTATGTACCTTCTATTAGAAGGAATTTTGTCACGACCCAAAAACCGACCGGTCGTGACGGCGCCTATCGTGAAACTAGGCCAGCCTCAACTCAACAATCAACCCAATAATAATAAGTTTGAAAACATTTACGGAAGCTTTTAACAGTTAAAGAACTATTTGAAACATAAGAAAATCCCATGAATAAATACAATCCAGCCCAAAACCAGGGTATCACTGAGTGCATGACCGTCTAAGGAAAAGTACATAGTCTCGTATAATGTCTAAGGGAAAAACTAAAATACAACTGGTAAGTAAGGTGGAGAGCCAAGGCCTGCGAACGCCGCGCAGGTACGGCAATAATCTTCTAAGTTAAAAGCCTCGATCAAACATCCTCCACTGGATCCAAAGTGCCTAAGTCTGCACACGGGGTAATGTGAGTACACCAACTCAGTAAGTAACAAGTCCAACCTTTGGACTGATAGGTAGTGACGAACTCAACCTCTTCAAGGATAACATAAATAATGTACTGAAAGGGTAGGCATGCTTTCAGTTAAATAAACAGCTCGAACAGTAAAACAGAGCAGGTATGAACAAGGTAAAGAAGTGTAACTCTGCTACATCCACATGTCAATGCACATGCTGCATGAAATGCACCATGCTGAGTGCCTCATGTGCCCACAATCTCAAATGCTCGTCCACTCAGTACTGTATATGGCACACACGGCCCAGGGAAGATCCATCCCGGAATATATATATCTCTGACAGTAGTTACCAGTACTGAGGAAGGCCAAATTCAGCCTATGGAGAAGATCCATCTCTAGATAATCATAATGATATCAACCTCACAACCACTCGGTACTGTATATGGATCACAAGGCCCAGGGAAGATCCATCCCGGAATATATACACATCACAGACCATCGGTCTCCAGTACCGAGGAACATGCCAATCCAGCCTTATGGAGAGATCCATCTCCATACCAAGGCAAGATCCATCCCTGAATATAATCAACCGCGCTCACTGGGGGTATGTTACATATTCTGGAGATGCTCCTACAGCCCAAGTGCTATCACAAGTCAGCGAAGGCATAAATCAATAAACCGTTGCGGCGTGCAGCCCGATCCCATAACTGTCACTCATAATCAGGCTCTCGGCCTCACTCAGTCATCACTCTCCAGTCTCACACACACGGGCTCACAATGCCATGAAGCTAGCCCGAAACAATGATATGATATGCCAAGTAATAATAACTGAGACTGAGACATGATATGATATGCATGAACAAGACTGAGTGTAGAATATTAATGAATGAAATGAGATGACAGCAAGAAATGACCCCTCGGGTCTCAACAGTAATGGCGTGAAGCCTTAACATGATAATTAGCATGATTGCAGCTCATTAACTTAATCACATAATGACAACACATATATCAGCAAGAAAGAGTCACTAAGCGGTGCCATGGAATGATCCAGGCCACAATTCTCACGGTGCACGCCCACAAGCCCGTCACTTGGCATTTGCGCACCACAATAGTAATCATAGAACACATAGTTTGGGGTTTCAAACCCTCAGAACCAAGTTTGGAAGCGTTACTTACCTCAAGCCAAGCCAAACTCTAGTCCCCGACGCCCTTTCCTCTCGATTCGGCCTCCAAATGCCGCAAACCTAACCAAAATAAATTTATAACCATCAATATACGCTAAAGGAGTGAAACCCATACGAAATTAATCAAATTACATCACAAATCCCGAAATGGGCCAAACCCGACCCCGGGCCCATGTCTCGGAATCCGATAAACATCAATAGAATCCTTATCCTCCCACGAGTTCATACATACCAAATATACCAAAATTCAACCACAAATGACCCCTCAAATCACCACTCAAATCTCTCCAAAACTCAAGCCTTAATCCTTCATTTTTAGGCTTTAAATCCCGCTAATTTCATTATTAACAATGGAGAAATGGCCATAAATACAGATTATAAGGCTTAAGAAGCTTACCCAACTGAGACACTTCGATTTCCTTGAAAAATCACAGCCCTAGCTCTCTTCCCGTCTTAAAAAATGGTGAAACTTAGGAAAATTTCGAGAAGGCATCTATTTATATGTTCTGCCCAGCGATACCGCACCTGCGGTCCATTTCCCGCACCTGCGGGACCGCTTCTGTGACTATCCAACCGTTTCTGCGGTTTTTCATTTAATTTCCCTTACCGCACCTGCGACCCAATCTCCGCATGTGCGGGCTCGCAGGTGCGACATACCTTCCGCATCTGCGGTACTCGTCCAAACAGTTGGCCTTCGCTTCTGTGGTCGATACGCCGCCTCTGCGGCTCGCACCTGCGGTCCCCAATCCGCAGGTGCGGTTATGACAGAAACTCAGCAGCTAAAGCTGCTCAAACTAGTTTCCAAACTTCCCGTTAACCATCCGAAATCATCCCGTGGCTCCCGGGACCTCAACCAAAAGTACGAACAAGTCATATACCACTATTCAAACTTATACCAATCTTCGGAACACTCAAAACAACATCAAAACATCAAATCATCATCGGATTCAAGCCTAAGAAACTCCAAAACTTCCAAATTCCTCTTTCGATCAAAAAGTCTACCAAACCTCGTCCGAATGACGTGAAATTTTGCACACACGTCAAAAATGACACCAAGGACCTACTCCAATTTCCAGAATTCCATTCCGACCCTTATATCAAAATTTCCACTATCAACCGGACAACGCCGAAATTCTACTTTCGCCAATTCAAGCCTAAATCTACCCCGGACCTCCGAAACCCATTTCGTTCATGCTCCTAAGTCCCAAATCACCTCACGAAGCTATCCGAACCATAAAAACCAAGTTCCGAGATCATTTACTCACGAATCAACTTCCGTTTGACTTTTCCAACTTTATAATCAACTTAAGAGACTAAGTGTCTCACTCCTTTCTAAAATCAATCCGAACCCAAGCCAACCAACCCAACGCAATATAAAAGAGCTGAACCACACAAAATGAAGCAGAAATGGGGGAAACGGGGCTAAAACTCTCGGAACGACCGATCGGGTCGTTACATTCTCCCCCACTTAAAAATTCGTTCATCCCCGAACGTGCTAGAGTTGTTCCGAAAACCATCAAAATCGCTGTATAACCTTACCACACACATACCCCGGGGTGATCCCACGTCACCCTATCTCGTATAGTTCCGATAACACAATGTAACTGAAATTTCACAATCCAACCAAACCCATAAATCTTAGAACCAAATTTCCACTTCCGAAATCATCTATAAGATCCGAATCTCACCTCTATACTCTGAATAAGTCTGAACAAGTTGTAACAAACCATACCTGAAACCTTAGATGCAATTACATGACATACCACATAACTCAAACACTCATAGCGATAACTTCTAATCACAACAACTGCTCAAAACAACTGAATATCGATAATAAGCCTCTTATCAAATAAAACCCCATTCCAACACTTTCGTACTGCCAACGATGAATGAAACATGCAGAGAACCATAACCATTCCTCAGATCGACTAGTCGTGGAGCTCTCTCTCCTTCGGCGAGGACCATAGTAAATTTCTAAACCGAATCCCGATATTATCCTTCCAACATGCTGAAATCGAATTCGATAGTATTCATTCTAGATCCCAATGACCTCATTTCATCCAACATGACTACTCTAGTGACATGAAACATCGATACAATCTAAATCCACAACTCGTACGACCTGCGCACCAATAAGCAACAGTCCGAATGTACTCAAATCATGGGAAGATGACTCAAATAAGAGAGCTGTACCGCAAGCTCACCAGTACCACCACAACACAATGCTGAGAACCCATCACACATCGAAGAGCCAGAACACGCGAATCTAAGTCGAAGGGTCGTACCTCCACATAACTTCGCTACAATGCGCGACCCTACCCAACACTAGTCCATATGAAACACCTCAAGTCACTATGCTCAAATCTACAACCATGCGGAATTTGATGTCTAGTACCAAAAGCAAATCATTCTAACCACGGCGAAGCAATGACATAACACCACGCAACCCGACGAACATAACCAATACGCCATCCACCGAGCAATTGCCAATACTCTTCCCACTCGAATTCTACTATGAGACTCAAATAGAACCGCAACATATGTGCCTATAACCAACAAATCATAACGCCTCGCGACACGGAAAAGTAACTTATAGATCACCCTAGAACACTGATAAGCTCAACAACAATCGAATCAAAATATCCCTTATTAATAGCAACTTGGAGTCAACAAAGCCGACTCGATGCAGAACACACATCCATATTGGCCTACCAATGAACCCCTTATCAAGGAGTTCCTGAAGCTGCTCCTTCAACTCCTTTAACTCCGCCGATGCCATACGATACGGCGACCGGCCACCCAATCAATATCGAAATCAACAATCCTGTCCGACGACATGCCCACCGGTAGGAAACACATCTGGAAAAATCCCTCACCGCCAAAACTGAATCAATGGTAGGAGTCTCTGCACTGATATCCCTCACGAAGACCAAATAAGAAAGAAAACCCTCCCCAACCATCCTCTAGGTCTTGAAAAATGAAATCACCCTACTCGGAACATAATCTGTCGAACCTCGCCACTCAATCCGTGGCATCCCCGGCTTAGCCAATATCACTGACTTAGTGCAACAGTC